ACCACACGCAGAATATCTGCGGGCCTAGGCTGCGTCACATTAAAAGGGGAGGAAACATTGAAAAGTCAAGGAGGAGCTAGACTATCGCTTCCCCTCGGTTGATCAGCAAGCTCGGAGATATCTTGCGACAATCACATCTCAATTTTTCTAAATGTCTCGACGTATTTAAAAAAACTTCTCCCTTTATCACACCCTCTCCTGGTATCTCTGTTAAACCTCTCTATTCAAATTCCTTTGTGCCGGACGTCGATTAAAACTCAAATACTGACGAAGACCCTCTCAGATAACGGGGACTGAAGCTTGACGTATCGCGTGTTAAGTGCGGAACAGGTTACCGTCAAGCCACTCAACGCTGATTTAACAGTTGACAACTTACCAATCACCGTGATACGGCAACTCCTGGCTTCCTCGACGGCGTCTACATTAATACGCTCTTAGCACCAGGTCTCTGTGAACAAAAACACAACGACGAGCTTGTAACGAACAACTTCTCGACACTTACATTACTTTACATTACTTTACATTCGTGTTTCCCACTTTCCTCCAAATCATAAATTTTTAATGAGCCCACCAGAAACAACTTAAGAAATTATATATCTTTCTAGACCGCTACAGATTACAAATACGCTAATTTGTCGTATATAACCTCAAAGTTATCGAGTCGTCGCCCCGTGCTGTCCCGTCAAGGGGCGGAGGCTATCCGATGAAATAAACCAATTTTCTAAGACGTCCTACCGAATGCGAGAATTGGATCTGATGTGTCCTGCTCTCTACTTTACTCAAAAATTTACTATTCTTACATCCTTAAAACACGATCTAAACAAAGAGATTTGTTTTAAATGACACACAAACTCACACACCCAAGAACATGGAAATGCGTCCAGCACAGTATTTAAAATAAGCAATAATTTCACCGTAAAATCGGAGACTGTTTTCCTTCTGCCTTAATGCAAGCAGTGAGTGATCTAGAGCACAGATTACAGGCTAATTGTAACTTCACTACGTAAACAAATACACCTCTAACTGCGACCCGTTCGTTAACCTCAGCTGGACTTATTCCAAATGTCGTTCAGTGTGCCACTGTTCGTAGAGAAAATTCGTGAGTTAATTGCCTTAACTAATTAGTGTCACTATTCTGGATCACATGCAGCATTAACACAAGAATTAGCAGCATTCCAGAACATGTTCTTTCATGCCTATGTTGAAATAACTGTCTTCAATTATATGCAGAAAGTCGGCGTACCCAAATTAGAAGCAGATGGGAGGACAGCCTGACTAAAGAACTAACTACCTGGACACGATCGTCAGCCAACTCCATCAATTTGCCATCCTCACAGCCGACCTCCCTAAGATACATCTCGATATTATCCTCCCATCTCCTTCTTGTTCTACCCAGTGGTCTTTTTCCAGAAGGATTCCCTACCAAAATTCTTGGCCCCATGCGTGCTACATGTCCAGCCCATCGGAGTCTCCTAAATTTCACTATCCTCACTATGTTAGGTTACAAACTACATAATGGTCACTATCACAATCTGCGATGGGATGACAATATTAAAATGGACAACAAACGTTTCATGTAAGAGTGTACAATGGATTTGATTGGTTCACGACACGGACCAACGGTGAGTTCTTGTGAACCTTCTGGTTCCACAAAAGCGAAATTACGAAGATCATCAAGACGATGGAGGCAGCAAGAACCTCCGAAACGTCGGTAAACTTCTACCACACTTTACGTGGTTCGCCTCCAACAAAAAACACACAATACTTAATTTTACCTTTCGTTTTGTATCGCTGTGACTACTGTATCTTTCTGTGAGGGCAAAAATGAAATTGAAGTAATTATGATCACCAAAACGCACGCTTCGAGGTCTCTGCGAAATCGAACAACGTTGTAACACGAACAGAGGAGTCCATGCGAGTGAAGACAGCGCAGAACTCGTGCCGTAGCAAAGATACCACAACTGTGCTGTTGAATTAGAGCCTCGCGGTAAGGCAGCTAAGTCCTTCCGTTGTCTTAAGCCATGAAATCTGCTGACGACTACCGTAAGAAATATTTAAAAAGAGGCTAACTTCTGAAAAGCTTGTAAAATAAACTCTTACGCCCTGTTTTGTATTTCGGAGTTGAATCTTCGGGTCTTGGCTTCGTGCCCACATGAGAGTTTGTGAAGAAGTACAGAGTTTTTATTGGTTATCAGAAATAATTATCAAAACTAATTAACGTAGTGATATAATACCAACACAAACACCTTCTTCTCTTAAAGCCGGCCATATTAATTAAGGGGAGTGCTCAGGACTGCAGAACGTGGGTTCATGCAATCATATGACGCGGAGCGTAACAAAAGTTCCTTAACAGAACTGCAAAAACAAAGCCTTGATTTAGGACACCGTCACATGCAGTCGGACAGCGCCGTCATCAATAAAACTTGTGTACATAAAGAATGTAATTAAGAAAGCCAATTAAGTTTCGAGTGGTCGTCTATCCAGCTTTATGTCGAAATGGTGACAATCCTCGATGTACAAAAATTCAGCTCTATGAAATCAGAAATTCAAGTATTTTTCCGAACGTATTTCATAAGCTGTCCAAAAAAGGTTAGAAATTGACTAAAAGGTCCTCTTTCTATCATAGCCGATGACACCAGCACAACACAAGGCAATCCTCTGAAGCCCTAAATTCATCTCTACCTCAAAACACAACACTTCCGCATAAATAAATAATCCCTGTTTACACTGAGAGTCACAGGAAACCCGAATCACAAAACGCAAAATTACTGATTATTAAATCAAGCGATATATATAGTGATCTCTGGGGTTGAACGGTTCGTAACCTGCCTATTCCTTGCGTATCTGGACTTAAGATGGAGTAACAAAAGAACTGTGAATATTACAAAATAAGCAGCTTCAAAATTGTATCCGGAAATCCACTTGCGAGACCTAGATATACATGATAGGATAATATTAAAACGGGCCTTAGGGTGGCCACACACGCTCCGGTTTGCCGGAAGGCTTACGTCCCTGAAGGCAACCCGGAGCGTGTGTGCTGAATTTGACCGGAAACCGAGCCTCCGATGAATCTGCAGTCGCTTGATTTCTTACCTCGAGGCTTACTGAATGTTTACAAGTCGTAACGTGTGTGGGCAGAGACGAGGGTGCTAAGTTAAACTAAGTTTAACAGCTCCAAATATGCGTCCTCATCCATTCGCAGGTATTTATGTCAGTCTGTCGGCTCTAATCGAATTTCATTCAACAAATTTATGTGAGAATGTTTTGATCCATCCGACCAACCTCTGGCCCACTTAGAACGTTTCAACTTTCTTTCCTTTTTCAACTTTAAATTAACAGCAAGACCGATTAAAATCGCATCGTCTTCACTGAACATGTCGTAGCATCGACTGAAGATTAAAAAGACTGAGCACAAACCAGCCACAAGACTCTCAGAGGTTTGAGGCTTACCTCCCGGCAAGCCGGAGCGTGTGGGGCCACCCTTAAAGAAATGGACTAATCTAAGTTCCAAAACTTTGCCTACAAATTCTTGTGTGCGCTACAACTCACAAAAAAATCTGTCAACCCGAAAGTTTAACCCTTTGACTATAATGTGTTACGTGGTGAGGTTTCTTCGTCGACATCGACCAACCTCTGGCCCACTTAGAACGTTTCAACTTTCTTTCCTTTTTCAACTTTAAATTAACAGCAAGACCGATTAAAATCGCATCGTCTTCACTGAACATGTCGTAGCATCGACTGAAGATTAAAAAGACTGAGCACAAACCTGCCACAAGACTCTCAGAGGTTTGAGGCTTACCTCCCGGCAAGCCGGAGCGTGTGGGGCCATCCTTAAAGAAATGGACTAATTTAAGTTCCAAAACTTTGCCTACAAATTCTTGTGTGCGCTACAATTCACAAAAAAATCTGTCAACCCGAAAGTTTAACCCTCTGACTATAATGTGTTACGTGGTGAGGTTTCTTCGTCGACATCCACAGGGGCACGATCCTGATATCCCACTACCCCACGGTTGTGCTTAATGAAGCATACGAACTTCACTCTTAACTTTTACTTTGTAGGATTTTAGGTTCTCACAGCGGTGATTATGAAGATTTCTGTCTTCTGGATTGTTGCGCTGTGTAGTCTGCTCGATGTTAACCAACGTTTCAGAGGCCATACTGCCTCCGTCATCAGGGCGATGAGTATGAAGATTTCTGTCTTCTGGATTGTTGCGCTGTGTAGTCTGCTCGATGTTAACCAACGTTTCAGAGGCCATACTGCCTCCGTCATCAGGGCGATGAGTATGAAGATTTCTGTCTTCTGGATTGTTGCGCTGTGTAGTCTGCTCGATGTTAACCAACGTTTCAGAGGCCATACTGCCTCCGTCATCAGGGCGATGAGTATGAAGATTTCTGTCTTCTGGATTGTTGCGCTGTGTAGTCTGCTCGATGTTAACCAACGTTTCAGAGGCCATACTGCCTCCGTCATCAGGGCGATGAGTATGAAGATTTCTGTCTTCTGGATTGTTGCGCTGTGTAGTCTGCTCGATGTTAACCAACGTTTCAGAGGCCATACTGCCTCCGTCATCAGGGCGATGAGTATGAAGATTTCTGTCTTCTGGATTGTTGCGCTGTGTAGTCTGCTCGATGTTAACCAACGTTTCAGAGGCCATACTGCCTCCGTCATCAGGGCGATGAGTATGAAGATTTCTGTCTTCTGGATTGTTGCGCTGTGTAGTCTGCTCGATGTTAACCAACGTTTCAGAGGCCATACTGCCTCCGTCATCAGGGCGATGAGTATGAAGATTTCTGTCTTCTGGATTGTTGCGCTGTGTAGTCTGCTCGATGTTAACCAACGTTTCAGAGGCCATACTGCCTCCGTCATCAGGGCGATGAGTATGAAGATTTCTGTCTTCTGGATTGTTGCGCTGTGTAGTCTGGTCAATGTTAACCACCATGGTGGAAATCTACCAGACTACACGGCGCAATCTTCAACTTTTACATTCTTTAAAATAATTACTGACATAATAAGACATATAAAGCTCTGTATTTGAACACCGCAAGCCTGTAAGAACCATTCGCTTTATTTCCGACCTGTACGCAAGGAACTTCAACCCGATCATTTCACAAGGCAATTTCAAGCTCTTCCCAGAACAGAAACATCTTTCACTAAAGAAATGTGCTCTGGGGATCGCAGTGTTCATTTTCTCTTCTGGAAGAACGTCTAAAAGATAGAAGAACGTCGGAATACGAGGCGGCCTCAGAACAAACAGACTGAATCCACGCGTCTGATTCGTACCACCAATGAGTGACAGCTTCCTTAATAGACGTAAAAAAGAAATTGTATCTTCTTCCTTACTTCTTTGTCTCTTTTCTGTTTTGTCTTTCTCTCTACCTACGTTTCTCTGTTCCTCCAATTCCTCTCTACCACATTCATTTGTCTTTTATCTCTGTATCTCCCTTTCTTCG